AAAGTTAAGTTTCGTAAACCTATCTCTGTGAGAACAAGGCCTTTCATTCATAAGAAGTGAACAAAAAATTATGAAAGAACAAACATGAATGTGGTTTAATGATTTTAACTTCCGCCGCCGCGCCGCGCCGACCGCACCGTGTTTGGCGCAATGCGTAAAGTATTCATGCAGTCTTGTAGGCGCCATGCGTTTCACGCTGACCGCACTGTCTTTGGCGCAATGCGTGAAGTATTCATGCATTCTTGTAGGCGCTATCCGTTTCGCGCTGACCTCAATGACCGCACAGAGTTTGATGCAATGCGTGAAGTATTCGTGCAGTCTTGTGGGCGCTAATAAGTGTTACATGCCGATCGCCGCGCCGAGGGCTTCTCCTTTTCATCTCAAGTCCTCGTCATCATTGCTCTCTGCGCCGCACCGTTCCAGGCCAAATTGCGTGTTCGGTTTCTCTCTTAACTCGACTACTTAAAGGTGCTGTCTCTTGTATCACAGAAAAACGACAAAATTATAAATTACTATACTCTCAGGAAATAAGAGATTTTGTCACCTTTTCTCGTTTGTAATTTTTATTTTCTAAATCTGATATTTTGTTATACCTACATTTAAAGAAATTACAAAATTTGCCGCCCTCTAGTTAATAGAGTCATAATAGTATATGTTAATGAACAAATTAAACACTATGATAATGGACTCGGTGCAGCACTCGCTTCACAGTTCCAGCTTTTACGTATACAAATATAGATGCCTGAATAATTATGTATGGATTAGGCCTATTTACAACCCCTGTCATCACATATTTTTAACTGATTTTTTTTACCAAGTATGTGCTGCCAATTGGGGGGGGGGGGTTGTGCAACCAAAACCAAGCTCACTGCCAATTGTGGGGTTGTGCAGCCAAAACCAATCTCAACCAGATAGAAATAATTCAAATGAAAATCCTTAGAAACATAGCTATAAAGCACAATGGTTTGAGAGAAATAGGAATATAAGAGCGGATCTCGACATTGACTCTGTAGAGAATTCCATCACAAAAATGTATACCTCCTACGAAAACCGATTGCATAATCATCCAAATCCAGAAACGCTTGCACATGTTGAACAAGGATGATGGCATAAGAAGATTAAAACGCAGGAAAACCCACGAGCTTGGAATCCAGGGTTTTTCAAAATTTTTTCCATAATAATTAAAATCTTTGAGCGCCTCCTATTGCTCTAAGGACTTGTTAGGAGACACTTGATTTTTGGACGGGTCAACCCGTCGTAATTCAGTTAAAATGAAAAGACATTTATATTTTATAATAAACATGTTTTATTTTTACTCCAGCAAGTTTTAGGTAGTACATATTATGTTAAATCTTTGTTAATAGCTAGTATAATTTAAGCTAAACTAAACTTAAGCATTTTAAAGACATTTTACATGTCTAAATGCATTTATTGTACAATTGTCATTTATTTTGGTGTAAAAAAAAAAAAAACCAAGTATGTGATTGGTTGTTATTTCCTGATTACACCAAGATGCTGTGTTTCGTTTATCTGCTGATAGTCATTTCAAAAGCAAGAGCTTTCATCTTCAGAGCTTTTTCTAGACGTTCCACGCCGCGTTATTTTTTTCCTTGTTCATGTAATTTTTGTATCTGCATCTTGGCAATGCGATTTATCGATCAAGGTCATTCGATTACGATTCAACAATCGACCCGCTGGCAAGGTCAAGAACAGAGGCGGGGCGTGCTTTGCGATATATCGATTGTTATGCCATTTAAACCTATGGAAAAGGATCGATTAACAGGGTGTTCGCAGCGAACTCCTTAACAATCGATTCTTTACCATAGGTTTAAATGGCATAACAATCGATATATCGCAATTCACGCCACGCCACTGGTCAAGAAACCGCTCGGAGGATACGTCGGAATCTGCAGCGGCTCGTCGATTCGGCACGAGATTGCGGACAACCCTCCGAACGGGGGCGAAGCCGGAGAAAGCTCGGTCTGGGTGCGAGCAGTGCGAGGTACGAGCCGGGGCGAGGACGCAAGTGCAGGGCGCCGGGTGGGCGGGGCTCCCCGCGACCAATCAGAGCCTCGCGTCGTCCTGCGCCAGGCGCCGCCACGGCCGGGAATCTCGACGCTGGAGCCCCGACCGCTCATTCGCACCGAGTTGCTTGAGATTATTCGCACTCGATAACCGTTCATAAGTAACGGGACGCACTATTTTGACATTTTTAAACCCCCCTCCCACCTCCCCCTCCGCTAACCCTTTTGTGACGTAGACTCCTTTACCTTAACGCGTAAAAACAGAGTGGCGTAAAGGTCTCCTTGATCCTCCTCCTCCTCAGACAGTGGCGTGGCGTGCTTTGCGATATATCGATTGGTTCGTCATTTAAACCTATAGAAAAGGATCGATACATAGGGTATTCGCAACGAACACCTTGATAATCGATTATTTGTCATAGCTTCAAATGGGGCAAAATCGATCATTTACGCCTCGCCACTGTCCTCAGAGCGTTACGCAATTTGGATGGGCGATTCCAAAAACCGCACATGTCCATCCGATTAATTTTTTAGGAGAGGAAAAAACACAGGGAAAAAAAACACATTGGATCTATAGTCCAGACTTTAAAACATCGACAGAAAGAAGTACTCTTGAATCAATCAGAATCTAGCTTAAATCAAGAACCAAGCCTCTTAATTTAAGCGGATTTCGTTTTGATTCAAGCAAAAATCCGATTGAATCAAGAGTATTTTTTCTTGTCAATGTTTTCAAGAGTCTGGACTCTAGATCCAATGTGTTTGTTTTTCCAGTGAACTGTATGATCATGAGGGGAAGCATAGCAAAGAAGGGAATTAATTTTTTAGCGCACCTTACTGCGTTCGCGTGAAACTATGTCTAATTACATTGTAAAAACCTCCGATACCATATCAATAGTTTTCTATGGGAGCTCTTAAATAATAGCAGTCATAACCAATGATATCGATAATTTGCCTATCGATACGTTGGTAATTTTACTACTGCTTCGAATTAAGAGCTCATATGTAAAACCATTAAAATGGTTATTTTTACCTTGCCTTTTTCTCAAGTATACAATGGTGTCTGACGGACAAGCCACATGCGTTTTTAACATGTTTATATATTGCAATTTTTGAAATTTTTTCGGCTTAATACTCTTCCTCTTAACGCAGTTAAGGAGAATTCAGAGTAAAATTAAAAGAAAATTAAGAATAAATGATGCCATACAGTATAATAGTAGTAATGCTTGGAGAGTAACGAACAACGAAATTTAGGTTTTTAGGTGATCAGCTGGGGTGTAGAATTTAATATTTTTAAACGGAATAAAAAGAAAAAAGAAATAGTAATAAACACAATTCATACAAATATACGATGCGAAAATAAATCTCGCGATGGTAACACAAAATATCGGAAGTATGCGTAAAATCGAACTCCACCTAGAGGCGAGTTGTATTTCTCTAGCTAGTCCCAAGCCCAAGAAAAGGAGGAGGGTTGTGCGTAGGGCTAGCAACCCTACCGCGTAAAAACACCCAAGCTACGAAAATCAAGACTAAGCCTAGGTACATAGACAACTTACGGATAAAGCGACCTAAAGAGTATGGATCATGGAAAAAAACCAAAAAAACCAAGGACATCATATTAGCCACATGGAATGTAAGAACTATGAAGAAACAATGTAAGAAGGAATGTAAGAACCCCACACCCCCCATTGAATTACGTAACGCTGACCTGTCTTCCCTCCCCAACCAATTTTTTAAAAAAAAATCAAGAAAACGCTGAGAAAGTAGTTCGAAAAAAGTTCAGTTTTATATTTTTTTTTTTTTGGGGGGGGGGGGGGAGATATTTCGCTGAAATACAACGCAAAGATACGAGCAAAGGAGTGAAAAGATTCAGTCGGGAAGGATGGGGTTTTCTTTTTCAAAGTTTGCCCCCCCCCCCCGGCTCGTAACGCCGGGCTTGACCCCCTCTTCCCCTCCCCTTGTAACGCACCGTAACGTTGGCTCAAACCCCCCATCTTCCCTCAGTTACGTAACAATTACGTAACGTAAGTAACGCTTACGTTGTAAAAAAGAGATACAATTGTATCCCTTTTTTACAATATTGTCTTGTAACTGTCCCTGACAAAAGTTTCTAACACTTACGTTACGTAATATTTGAACGGTCCTTATGATTTGCTTGTCGAATATGACAAAAAAAGATGCCTATCTCAGTGCCTAACGATGAATCTTTCGTCCAACTTGAGTCCAGGATCGCGATCCCACCGTGCAAGAATCCTGGCTGCGAAGGGCGGCGGGGCAGCGGGGCGGGGGGGGGGGGGCGGCGTTGATTTTAACGCAATAAAAGCGCTAAAGAGGTTTTGATGGAGGGCGCCGCCCGAAGCTCCTCCCTCTTCCGAGGCAGCCCCCACCCCGCCCCTCCGATAGGATTTACCCGGCTCCATCCAGCCGATTCACATGTCGCAAAGCTCCACTCCGTCGTTACATTGTCGTTCCGTTCCGCAGCCAGTGTCATCTCCCCGTCGCTTGGGCATCCTGACCCTCCCGACCTCCGTGTCAGCGTGTGAGTGCGTTCCGGCAACCTTTTAATTACCCCCCGACAAGTGATACCTTTAGTGTCCAGTGCCCGAGGGTGTATTTCGCGATTCCAAGCTCCTGAAAGCTCGGCATAGACCCCCAAGCTTTCGTTTTTATAACTTTCATTCAACACCCACGCAATAAGGGAAGTTAAATTGATAAAAATTGATGGGGTTGACATATTAATTAGCATGACCTCATTGTAGAATCGTGTAGAGGTGTGTCTGTTGGGCTAGGGTAAACATCGAGGTTGAGTAAGAAACGTTGCTGCTGAAGAACTTAATCTAGTTTGAAAGATGGTGCGTATCATTAGGCTAAGTTTTGTGATCGATGTTCCTTGTGATTTATGAGGTGTCATCGGTTGTGCTGAGAAAACCATTCAAAGTAATGGATGCGTTTCTGAAGTCCGCCGGAACCTATTTCTGTCCTCGCTGGACGATACTATAACGTAAGTGGTAGGGATGAATCGCAGCTGCTGATTTTGCTGAAAAGTTCTCTCCGCAAGTATTGAGACTTAAGAGGCGCGACGGTGATTAAACATTCGTGATGGAGGTCTCGATTCCGGCACCTTTGGACTTCAGTCTGGGCGTGAAACCTCAACAGGGTCTACTGAAAATGCTCCAAAATTCTGCCACGACCAGTGATTCCAGCAGTGCCTTCCGGGTTGTCACACCGAAGAGTAAACGAGAAGGTAAGGACGAAAAACTGTTACATCTTGAACTATCAACACGCAAAATGGAAAGAGGGCTTACAAGTGAGATGTGATAAAGGAAGCAAGTTTGGCACGTTAAAAGATGCGAAGCAGGGTACCATGGAGCTAGCCCTCCTTACAAGTAACAAAGTGGTGAAATGGTCCACACCTTTTGCTGGAAAAACAAAGCCAAAAAGTTCCAAAAATTTTAATTAGAGTCAAAAGTTTTTGTCACATAAACCTTGTTACATACAGTCCGGGCCATTTCTTAGTGTTTTTTTTCTCCTTACAAATAATATTTCAAAAGCCCCGTAAGTTACATTGTGTTTTTCAATTGGGTCTTGATAAGATTGTTTTATTATAAATATTATTCTTGCACATTTGCATGTTAAAAAAGATCTTTCACTGGCATATTCTAATTTAAAGAGAGGATGAAGAACAACTTAATTAGCCAAAACACATTATAAAAGAACAACTTATTTTGGAGAAAAGGCTGCAAAAAAACAGAGGATAGATAAAAAAACACCCGGTAAGTTTCGAAATGTTACAATTCCACTATCAACCGGAGGAAGAAAATGAATAAAAGTGAGTCGTCGATTTGTTCGATTTTTTTCCTCCGGTCGATAAGGAAATAGTAACCTTCTGAAAAGTTCCGGGATTTTCATTCATCCTGTTTTTTTGTTTTTTTTTTCCTTGCTGCCTCTTACCCAAATTAAGTTGTTATTTTAAAAAGAGGGCATTTTATTGAGAGATAGGGTGTTTGGAGAGCAGTCATTTCGCAATTTCGCCTTCAATTTTTGACGTGGGCCACAAAGCAGCCCCCGTGCAGTAATAGTTAACTATTCGATGATTTGTGCTTATTTTGTTGTTCCCAAATTTTGCCTTGCAGTGAAGAATTATGTCTAAATGCATCCTGATGCTATGATTTTTGCTCATTAGCTGTTTGTTTCTTCCTTTATTTCCTTTTCTTTTATCTAGTCAAGTCTCTTGTTTAATAATATTTAAATGATATAATTAATCATTCCTGATTGCTTTGGAAAGCAGTGTCTCCCTGATTTATGCGCAGATAACGTGACCAGGGCACTGGTTTCCCTCTCATTTCATTTATTTTCCGAAATCTTCGGATCGAAAATGGCCACCCTCGGTGGACTGCTTAGAGTGAAGAATGCTTGCGGAGACTCTTCTTGTAATATATTTTAAAATCTGGGAAGTGTTGTTTAAAATAAGTATTATTGAGAAAGAACGAGAATGATAACTAGAAAAGTTTTGTTTCAACAGTTGTCGTGAAAGACCAAGTTTGGTTACGAAAAGTAGCTATGTAGGAAGTGCTTCCCGGTGAAGTTAACACAAACAAAAGTTGAAACTTGCCACTGTTGAGTTTGACGCCTTAATTAGACGTATTTATGCTAAAAGGAACTTGTTTAAATAGGGTTTGCGTTTAACATAGTTCCTTTTAGCATATGATTGCGGCGGATCATACTGTTAATCCGTGTTTTAACAGACTGCATTTTACACTAGTTTTTCAGTGAGTATAATTCAAAATAATAAAAGAAGAGATGAGAAGTCTCGAATTTTGAGGAATGAGGCGGGACATCTACTCAAAGGACATTGCTTTTTTCTATGATCAAATTATATGTTTTTTAAACAATTCAAAGCGGTTGAATACTATTCTGTTATGATTTCAGTCCTTCTATGCAATGTTTACTATGAATTAAGCTAATAAAGAAATCTCTCGTAAGTTATTAAGTTTTGAGTATTCACACGCAAAATTTAGTTCATCTACAAAAATTCTTCAACCTCATTTTGAGATATCATGAAGTCGAACCCATGAGTTCAGAATAACAAAATCTATTAGTTGAACGTCATACTCAATTCAGCAATAATATACCCTTAAATTATTTCCCTAAATATATGAACATTTGTACAAAAGTACTTTTGTACAAGTGAATCAAAATAAAAAAGGGAGATTCCTCTGAAGCAATTTCTCAAATTCTTATTTGTTGTTTATGAAATTTCCTTAATTTTTACGTACGGTTTTAACTTGTAGTAGTCATTCTTCTGATAATTTGCTGACTTTTGCTTTTTAAGTTTGTAAATTTGGACGAATATAGGGGGTAAGGGCTACGCATGACCGCTCCTGCTGAAAACTGCGCCTGTTCTTTCAGTAAAATATTTTTTTAAAAATACTTTTAAAATACTGGCATTATTTGAAACAAAATAAGATTACTTGCTTCTTTTTGCGTTCAAAACATTGCAGTGGTTAAAGGTAGGCTCATCGGCGAAGGTTGCAATGGATGCTTCCTTAATTTATATCATCTTAATGTGAACCAGCATAGATTCGTTAGTATACATATCAAAAGGGAGATCAGTACGATACCTTATTGAATTTTCAACATTCCATGCCCTTTAAGTCTCATTCTTTATCTGTAAGGGAATGGATTAACTTTTCCGTCAAGCGAGTTTTAAACAAATTCTCTAAAATTTGTATGGAAATGTTTTTGTCGATTCTCCATTGAGTCAAAAATATCAGCGATAATATTGAAAAGCAAACTTAAATTTTTTTATAAAATTTACTCCATTAAAATTTCGGTATCGGCATAAAAATATCTCTGCTGCTTAATCGCTGTTAGCTTTCCCCCAAAGAAAATTAATTGTGCTAAGGACAAAAATGTGCAGATTACTTCTACTAAATCTCTTAAGCATGTATAGTAAACATGTACTTTTATCCCAATCCTACGATACTTTTAGTATATAATTTTTATTCAATTTTACTTACTTTATCAGTTATTAATTTAGTTGCTTATTCCCCGTCCCTCCCTTAAAATGGGTGATTTGATCGATCATCTCTTGCATCCGATTCTAACGAAGATACGAGCGGAATTCGGAAACATGTGGGAGGACGAATGAAGGTTGCATATGCACAACGTGTGCCATTTTTTGACTTCTGTGACAAAAGAAAGAAAAAAATCACATTCATTAAACGCTTTTTTGAATCAGTGACTCAACTGATGAGTACGTTCAAGTATAAAATGGGATTGAAAAGTCCTTGAATACATATAATTCATCATACTATGTGTCCTTTAATTACGGATAATTGAGTCGATCATTGTTCCAAAGTAGAGGAAACAGTTCTTGAAGAAGAAGATACGATTATGGGTGATTAAAAGTTGTTTGCAGTTGCTACAGGGTCTTGTCGCCGTGCCGCGATGTAATGAGGGAGACTATGAAGGGTCCAGATTGCCAAATTGACAATGATTATAGACACCCATTTCTGTATGGATCTGCAGAACTCTTATCAAATATAGACTGATTAGTAAAAACTCTCAAAATAATAGAATTATTTTCTAGTGGTAGACATTTTCAACAGCTTCATAATAAAACAAAATAATATCATATCACGTTCGTTCACAATCAGATGAACACTTTTGCCTCCATCGTTTTTCCTCCATCCATTTTTCGACATCGCGGAAATTTATGTAATCACTCCGAGGTCATTTCTTGATTTGGTTGTGTGTACCTGACAATCAGTCTCTGTCGTACTCAGCTTATTTGATACTTTTAATTTATCATGAAAATGGACTAATTTCTGTAAACTTCCCATTAAAAAATTGCGATCAAATCGGGTTTCAAATGCGGTTGTGACACACATGCACTAACTTAAAAATGAAGATATACGTTCCAAAAATGCCCCGCTTTCCAAAGTCTTTCTAAGCCTCTTTCTCTTCTGCCGAGAGCGATCTATCTTTTCTTCTTCCCTCAGTATCCTCATTTTCCTATCCCTTCATTCTCCCGTTCCTTCCGTATTTTGCTCCTTCTTTCTTCTCTCCCTTTTCTTTATCTTATTATATGTATTCATCTCATTCACACATTCTCTTTGCCCTTCTTTTCTTTAAGTATCCTCATCCTCGTATCCCTTCTTTTTCCTATTCCTTCCGTATTTTGCTCCTTCTTTCTTCTCTCCCTGCTCTTTATCTTATTATTAATCTCATTCACCACCTTCTATTTGCCATTATCCCTTTAAATATCCACTTCTTCCTATCCCTTCTTTTTCCTATTCCTCTCATATTTCAGTCATTCATTCTTCTTTCCCTATTTTTCATCTTATTGTTCATCTCATTCACCACACTGGAAAAAAAGTCTCTTGGATCCGAAGTCCAGACTCTTAAAAAATTCGACAAGAAAAAATACTCTGGATTCAATCGGATTTTCTCTTGAATCGAGAGCCCAGCCTCTTAATTTTAGTGGATTTCCTTTTTGTTCAAGCAAATATCCCATTGAATCAAAAGTAGTTTTTCTTGTCGAATTTTTTAAGAGTCTGGACTCCCACTGGTAAAAAACACATTGGATCTAGAGTCCAGACTCTTAAAAACATCGACAAGAAAAAATACTCTTAATTCAATCGGATTTTTGCTTAAATCAAGAACCAAGTCTCTTAATTTGAGCGGATTTCCTTTTGATTTAAGCTTAAATCTGATTGAATCAAGAGTATTTTTTCTTGTCAATGTTTTCAAGAGTCTGGACTCTAGATCCAATGTGTTTTTTTTTCCAGTGCCGGATCCAAAAGAATTTTTATTTCCAGTGCGCTTTCCTCTTTGCCCTTATTTCCTCGTTCTTCTTTTTCTTCTTTTTCTCCATATTCCACTTCTCTTCCTCTGTTTCTCTTTTCTTAATGTCATTTTCTCGTTCTTCCTGTTCTTCTTTTTCTCCATATCCCACCTTTCTTCCTCTGTTCCTCTTTTCTCAATGCCATTTTCTCGTTCTTCTTGTTCTTCTTTTTCTCCATATTCCACCTCTCTTACTCTGTTTCTCTTTTCTCCATATTCCACCTCTCTTCCTCTGTTCCTCTTTTCTCAATGTCATTTTCTCGTTCTTCCTGTTCTTCTTATTCTCCATATTCCACCAATCTTCCTCTGTTTCTCTTTTCTCAATGTCATTTTCTCGTTCTTCCTGTTCTTCTTTTTCCCGCATATTCCACCTCTCTTCCTCTGTTTCTCTTTTCTTAATTTCTGATGCGTCCTCATCTGACGCATGGAATCTCACAATCCGACAACGCGGCCAGCGGAGCGGAGAGGCCACCCCCGCGACAGCGGTGCGTAGCGCGTGGCCTAGACGTCGCCGTTGGCCGCAGAGCAAACATCGGCACGCGGCGGCTCCTGTTTTCCCGATGAATAATCGCATTTGTTGCGCGGTCCGGTTCCGGTTCGGCTGCCACGACCGGACCGGAAACCGGATATCGTCGCTCTCTCGCCGTCGCCACGCTGCACGAGCAGTTGAATAAGTAATCACTCGCACATCAAATTATCAGATTAAATCCCTTGCTTTGCGGACACTATTCGGCCAGATTTACCGGAAATATGAAAGTTCGCGGCGTGTGCCCAAAGAAAAACCGGGCTTTCAATGATTAATTTATGGAAAGGATTGCGGGAATAGCTAAAAGTATTTTTCAGTGACGTGCAGTCAAGGGTTCTTTTTTAGGAATTCGAATGCAGCTCTTTCAAAGAAACAAGAAAACATGGAATAAGGGGCTTGGAGGGCAAGGCGCATAAGTGCAGTGACAATTTGAAACAATTTAGATATTAATGATTCCAAGTAAAATGAGTCTTGATGCATATGCTATGAAAAATTCGCGCCAAATTCCAATTTTTAAGCATCAAAATGTCAGTTTGAATTTGCTTTCCGCCATGAGAGTCCATGTAATTTCGAAACTTCAATCACGTATTTCTCAAAGAAGCAAAACTGCAGTCATGCGCCTTGTCCTCCAAACCCCTACTGGTCTACTGACACTAATGTACATATCAATGGCTAAGAACACTACCACTTGTCTGCAAATTGCCAATTTTGCAGGACGAAGAGAAAACTTCCCCTTTTTTATGTAATATTAGGGTTAAATTTGCAATTTTTTCATACATTACGGCATCATTGCAGCGCTTCCTTACAGAATTAAGATGTTGCATGTGTGAGGAATTTGCGATTTGACTGCCGATTCTCATGTAAAAGTTCGCGAGAAATACGATGGTGCCACTGGTTTTCTCTGAAATCAACTCCCAAGCTCAAAAAAAGCTCTGAAGTTGAGGCCAAAATGGAGGGGATATCCCACGCTATCCTGAGAGTCAACCTCTACATCAAGACGAACTATCAATGCAAAGATAGGGAGCAAATACATTCGCAGGGATGCCGTGTTTTCAGTTTTGGAGTCCCCAAATAACGAGGCAGCCCTGTCAATGTATTTGCTCCCTATCTTTGCATGGAGAGTTCGTCTTGATATAGAGGTGGACTCTCAGGATAGCGTGAGATATCCCCTCCATTTTGGCCTCAACTTGAGAGCTTTTTTTGAGCTTGGGAGTTGATTTCAGAGAAAACCAGTGGCACCATCGTGTTTCTCGCGAACTTTTGCATAAGAATCAACAGTCAAAATCGCAAATTCCTCACACATGCAACATCTCCATTGAAAAAAAAACCAAAATCATTATCTTGCGTATTTTATACTGAAAAATGTGGCAAAGTCGCCGACTCATTTCTGCCAAAATTGTCTATTAAGCGGTATTGTTCCTTAACCTTCGACATGCACTTTCGAATAAGTTGGAGACGTGAGCAACTTATTTGAAAGTTCATACCTTGGTTTTTGCCCGAAGGAAACTGCTTTGTTTTCTTGAAAATGTATAATTGAATACAATATACTAGCGGCCATGAAAAATCTAAGTGATGAGGTTCAACGAAGAGGAACGAATAAGTAAATGTTATAGTGCACGTTTCTTTAATAGATAAACCTTCCGGCATGCAGATACTATACTTTCTGGTAATAAACATGTCTGTGTATTTTTCTAAAATTTTTCAAAATAATTCGATCTCATTCTAAATGAAACTTTTGGATTAGTTTTTATTCTTTTCAAGTTTTTCATTTTAATTTTCTGGTTGGAGCTTCAAGTTAATTCTTACTCTAGAATGTGGAGACAAAATAAAAGCTTCTACAGGGAATCAGTGGAGAGTTACTCAGTTAACAAGACAAAAGGGGAATGTAGAAAAGGCGACCAAGGATGGCAGGAATGCAAGTGAACATTTCATTTGATTGAGCGATGAGTCATGGAGGACACTATTAAGTCTCCACAGACACCAATTATCTGAGTTACCCAGTTTGTGCTAAGTTACTACGCTCCGTACTACTTCTCTACCGGCCACTAGCCATTGGGTAATTTGCATAGTTGCCATGGGTATGAACTCCAGGTAAAAGAAAAAATAAAATTTTGCACCTTATCGTGATCTGGTTTTTATTTATTCATCCCGGGTATCCTTGATTTCCTGATTTAGAAGCTTTTTAAATAAGACAAATTGCAATAAACCGTGAACATACAAACCCGTGAACATACCGTTTCAGACAAAATATCCCCTGAAGAGTAGCCTCGAATACTTTACAGCCTAACTGTTTTTTTTTTTTGTATGTTTGCTTTTTTTTCATAATTATTAGAGGTTTTTAATGCATTTGAGGATCCTGCAACCTTGAATGAGCATCAGATTAGGGTTAGTATAGTACACATCCATGCTCCCGGCTTTCAAATTTTCAGGGATTAAGACTGATTGGAGTCTGTTTCTGCAGATTCACTCGTCAGTTCCTTGAAAATTGGTCGCCACCACCGGGATTCGAACTCGGGGCCTATCTGTCTAGAGTCAGAAGCGCTGACCGATAGGCCAACCTTGCCGGCTGACTAACAGATTAATACCATTATTTCGAATTGACCAGAATGTGTCGATTCTAGTGTCTGTTAATACTTTCTTCAGGGCCGACAAACATGATATGACAAACAACTTTTATTCATGATTTTCTTTTGGCTTGGCAAGGGCACGAATTCCAGTATAAAATACATTGTTGATAAAGCTTTTATTAACGGGATTATCCGGATTTGACGGAAAGCAGACTAAAAAGAGACCGTCTCTGCATTAGGCACTTATAAATCAATAAATCAAATCAAAGATAAGAGGGAAAAGAACGTTAGTCTCTGATTGAGGCTTAAACAGAGGCCGGTGCGGTATCTTGCATATTAGCGATTAAGGGTCGGTTAATCCTCTGTCGCATGCAAAGATTTTGAGCTTAGGAAGCCATATTTCTCGGAGAAATTTTAATTTGTTTGAAAGTTACTTGTTATGATCCGTTATGTTCTTAATGGTTTTTTGGTTTCTTTGCAATGCTGCTCAGACATGTTCTCATAAACGCTCATCATGAATGTGTCACGAGTTTGATTCTAAGAGGTGTTCACGAGGGTCGTTTATTTTTGGTTAAATTACGGCATTTCTTAAGTTTGTCATAAGTTTGTCCTCTCTAAATTTGGTTACCTTCATTATTTTTTCCATAATTGGACGTATTTATATCAAACGGAACTATGTGCATCATGGCGTGAGCCCTGTTATGCATATATTCTTATGAGTCTCGGGGCTCATGTCATACGGGGCTCATGCTCATGCACATAGTTCCATTTGGCAGAAATACGTCCGATTGAAGATAATAAGACCGGTGGTATCTCCAAATTTTATGCGAGATTTTGAAGTACATTACCTACAACTAAAAATGAGTGTTTCAAATATTTAAGAAAAGCAATGAGAACAAACGTAGTAAATGTTCGTATTTTGTCACAGCTCCTTCTAAAGATCTATTCAGCTAATTTTCATGCTTTTGGCGACTTTCCATAGGAGGTGGTCAAGAAATTTACCTTAACTCACAGGGACTCGCTTCGCGGGCTGTTAGGGCAGGGCACGAAGCGCCTCTTATATGAATTGGGCCGCGTATCGGCCAAGGGGCGTGTCCCTCGGTATACATCTACTAAGCAAGAATAGTTGCGTTCAGGTGTTATGATAAAGAATGAACTTCCTGGCTACCGGTTGCATAAGGCCAAAGGTCTTCGCGTCAATTCGCTGTAACAAAAACGCCTTCAATTAATTGTATATGCAATATGGACATCCGTTGAGTGCGTATAGTTGTATCAAGGCGTCATTGGCATTGCCGGTGATCCCCATCGTCTGACACACGAATAACTGACCTAATTTCTGCTGATGTTTTATTTTTTGAAAACTAAGCAACACTACGGCTTAGAATTCTATGAGTATACCCTTAATAATTGAGGAAATGTTCACATAAAGTTCAAAAGAATGGATTACTTTAAATATTTGTTAAAAAAATTAAAGATGAAAGGAAAGCAGTTAATCTGAAATGTAGTTATGCTAATTCTAGTTAAATCTGCGCAACCTACGGTGCCAAGCTCAGTAAATATAAATGCATTCGGCTCTAAAGCATCTAGCATTACAGATTAATCGATTTAAATCGCATTAGCGTTGCTGTAATGGTAGTAATATTTATTTATTTGAAAGAACAGTATGGTAAAAGGTTGACACACTTCGGGCCACAATTGTAAGCGTTTTTTTTTCTTGTTCATACGAAAGTGTGTATTACAATTGGTACGTGCAAGTGGTTAATTTTTGGAAAAAAATGTATGCGCCAAGGAATTTTAATAGGATTTTAAATAACAAAAAATAATTAACGAAAAAATGACGTCCTCTATCGGGTCCGTTCACGGTGCAGATGAATTCATCCGCTCCCTAATCCGACTTGAATCAATAACGAAGAGCGCACCGCTGAAATAATCTCGCAGGTCAACTTATTTCAGGCTCTCCGAATTGTACGTTATCATTTTTATGGCCACTGATATTTCCGTTTCCAAGACGGAGGACGATCCCCCAGTGACTCCTCGCCAACAGGTTAAGAGGATTGTTTCCACTTTTAATCCGATTTAGGAGTGGTCAAAACAAATGCACGCTTTCTCTCAGCCCTTCGTCGAGTTTTAAAGGTCTCCGGAGGAGCCTGGATAAGTTAAATTGCCTGTCAGTTTATAGGATTTTCTTCAACGTCCTATTTCTTTTCCTTACGTTCGTAAGACTTTCATCCACGTAAACCCGAAAATCAGTCAAACTCAAAACAAAGAGAGTTTCGAGGATAGTTGAAACGTTTAAGTTCGACTGAATTTTGCAATGAGGAGGCACTATTTCTAGCTTATTTTAGAAGCAACGTGTGTGCCATTAGTTGCCCAATTCAGATAAACCATTTCATGGAAGAGCCAGAAGTAATAGTTCTTTCACGGGAAAAGTATGAAGATTGCAACTTCATCCCCGGCTGATTTTGGCGCCAGGTAGAAATGGACCGCGTTGAGCAGGAAGGAACCAACCTACGTCAGCTATTGTCGAATTTAATTAGGCAATTTAATTATTTACGAAAGAACGTTTGTGCGGATTTTTTTTAGAATTTTAAGGAATTTGTATCGTGTTATGCAGAAAATTCACTGAAATATGTACACAAATCTGCACAGCCGTTATCACGTAAAAAATTGAATTGCCCAGTTAAATTTAGCAAAAACATGATGTTGCTTGGTTCCTTTCTGCTTAACGCGTTCCAAATGTGGCTGCACCAGCCTGGCCTCTGACCTCTTTAAATAATCTGATATGCATCAATATTTGTATTCATCAGATCGGAAGTTTCAGCATTCAGAAGTGTCATACATCCTGGCATCACCATGAAGTATACCAAAGGGGATTTTCTTATTTTTGCGAACAAAAAATATTCTGCATATCTTGCAATCCATGTTTTGAAATGTTTTTAAAGGCGTCTTTTACTATACCTGAATTTCCTCTCATTACAGATTCAAAGTCACCATCGGAAGTTGCAGGAACACCAACCATTTCAACAGTACCGTGTTATAACAATAGACTATGGAGCAATGGAGCAAGCACATTCCAGCGGCCTTCCCATTTTCCCTCCCTAAATCGGAATAAGAAAAATAACGGTAAGATTACATATTTTCTGATTCCTCAATCCTCTGTCTTACATTAATGTATTTCCGAGTCAACTAATGTTGATTTTTAAAATTGATCATCGATTGATTTTTGATCAATGTAATTGATTGATTTTTATCGCAATAAGGAAGGAGCTGTTAACTGGACCTGAATAGGTAAGGAAGAAGATCATTTGAAGTTTATTATCAAGGATGAGACCATTATACAATTATGAAATTCAGGTCATTGCAAGTAACGGAAATCGTCACGTAACAAAGACTCAATCTAAATTTGGATCAAAAAGTAATTGTAATTGATTACTGATCACAGATTTGGATCAATATTAAATGACTAGGGGGTTATCCCCCCTGCCGCTACGCGGCCAAACCCCCTGAAGGCGCTCCCCGCCACCTATTTTGTACCCGCGGCGTTAATAAAATTCATACTTTAATGATAAAATTTGTTTAGCAAATCTCGGCAAAACTTTCACACGCTGAATTTGGGGGAATCAAACGGTCACCTACTTTAAAAAAGCGGCACTCTGCTCATGAGCTTTTGATACAACAAAGGATGCTAAAAGTATTGGAGGGGTGGGGGCTTGCAGTTAAATATTTTTCGATGAGTGGTGGTGGTTNGGGGGGGGGGGGGGGGTGCGCCATTGAATACTAATAAAATGTTTAACATGCTGTACCGAATACGCCTTCCCTTTCTCCTCTTTTAGAAATAACGGCAAAAGCTCTTAGTTAGCAACTTGAAGTGCTCGAAAGCAAGCTTGCGAACACGTTACAGCTTCCTTGATTGCAGCCTCGCCTCATCGCCCGTTAGCAACGGTCAAGGAGCAGGGGATGGGGGCTGAGGGCTCCCCCTCTCCAATAAAAACGGTGTAAAATCTCGTTCAGTCCATAAACATCTTCGCCGCGCCGGCTCAAAATCTCGCGACCAGCGTCCTGGATTTCTCTGCTCTTAAAGTTCATTTCACCTCCGCTCGCTTGGAAATGGCGTTGACCCTTTTAACGCCCGGCGCCTCCAATCCAACCCCTACCCCCTCCCCCCTCGTCCGACGGGAGAAACCAATCGGATCCGGACTCCTCACACCTGCTGCCCCCTTCGCCTATTTTTTATCGGTGAATCGCGAGGAGCAGGGGTTGCATCTGGTGAGTCAGCGCGAGCCGCGATTCCCCAGGCGAGCGGGCGGGCGGGGGGTTGGAAGTGTGATCATATTGTGAGCACGTCTTAAACGTTGTTCGAGAGCTCTGAGCAGTTTGATTTCCAATCTCTTAAAAAGCCCGCGCGATAGGGACGACCCATCTCGGCAGATTGACTCGCTCGTATTGGCAGGGGCAACGCGAGCTGAGGTTGACCGGATTAGTTGCTCTTCCTCGCGCGTCTATGTATAATAAATGAATATTCCTATACTCCCGTGCTAAGAGAAAACGCCGTATGAAACTGCAGGCGTTGCCAAATTTCCTTTTATAAATCACGAATTTTCGGGAAAATTTGAACACGTTTTCCCTAGAGTACCTTTACAGATAGAGTATGTCCATTTCTGTTCCGGTTTTTCATTGGTCGCGTGAAAATAGGCTGATACGATGTTCTTAAGGCCGTAAATAAAAAAACAAGATGGCTGTTATCAGCAAGCAAGATTGAGGTTATGCACATCTTACATCCTCCTGTGATAAAGGTGAGAGGCGATTTAACAATGTTTTCATGCGTTTTTCGTGTGTTATTCGTAGATATGCTAATTTAAATTGTTACTGCCGTAAAATTGAAATTTTTGTCAAATTTAGCTTCTTATCGATGTTACGGTGAGCCGCCATCTTGTTTGTTTATTTACGGCCGTAAGAGCATCATGAAGCCTAAAACCTCGTTGACCAATCAAAAAGCGGCATACAGTTTTCCTGTAATAAAAATATACAAATGGCCATACTCTGCCAATTTTTTAGATAATCTTGCTCGCAATTTCACCTAAATTTACCGAAAATCTGAATGCAGAATATCCGTAGCTTTCTTCAGAAATAATCGTTGTATCGATGGAAATTTGGCAACTCTGGAAGGTTCATACGGCGTTTTTCCTTAGCACGGCAGTATCCGCCAGCATCAACACCCCTCGACGCAACCCTCTCGGAGTCAGAGTATCATCCCGTGGGGTCCCAGGTGCGGTTGCCGCGAAAGCTTTTGTCGATGGACCACTCTTGGAACACTCTCGGCGGAGCTAAGTGCCCCGTCGATCTTTGATCAATCAAAACTTTGGTCCGTTCCGGCCAAGTTCCGTCATTTACATCTCGGCACTTATTCTGCGGCGGAGTCGGGGGTTGAAATTTGTGGTCTCTTGACGGGCAAGTGCTTTTAGGGCAGTTTCCCAAGCCATTCACGCCGGATTGTGGGTGGAATCTGGGCGCTCGTATCACCTGCTCTCAGATTTTCTCCGGCGATGTGGCAACGCTTGCGCTCTGTCTTAATCACTTGTGTCATCTCTTCATTTTGTAGTGGCCGCAAAACAAACGACGTCTAATTTGCCGGGTAGGTCTTTTGCTGCCGAAATATTACCGAGTTCCTTGGATTCCGTTGAAAATTGCCGCTGTCTTGAACTTGAAGGAGTGAGGAGCCATTCCAGCAAAAATGTGTTGTATCTCAGACTTAAGAGCGCAACTTCGTTTAAATGCTGCGAGACTCTAGAATTTTGGTTTCACGAGAAAGCTGCATTTTTTAATGAAAAATACTCTGATTTTCCGTCAATTCGCACGCAAAACTTGGGAAAATTTTGGACAGAAGATACGCGCGTCATAATACAAGAAGACTGGAGCTGGTTGGGTAAATTTTGCAATACTCTTAGTATAGAGATGCGTTCCTATGTCTGAAAAACGGTAAATCATATGCTTTTTCTTCACGAAAATCTCATTTCGAGTGGTCCAAAATCATTTCTAAAGAACATTTTGTCAGATATTGACGCAATAAAATTTCTGTAAATGGAAAGTTTCTCCCTCTTTACTCTGCCTGTGCTTATCGAGAATGTCCACATAATTATATTCAAAATGCCCACTATAAGTATGTGAGGCACATGCGACATATAAGGACTTGAATAATTTAAAGTTCTCTTGTTTTCACACAACGTAAGGTAAACATTTTTAGTAGAGACAGCCGATGCGTTCATAAAGATGACAAATATAAGGTAATCCACTTCTTTTTGATTCGCCGATCGATAGGGCCTCTATATAAATTACACTTTAGAATATGAAAATCGTCGTTGATATTATATCATTGATCGAATCTGAAATGAGAAAGAAAAAACAACACAAAAAAATTAGTTGTCTTAGATGTGAGCGGTCGAATTTCTGAATTATCTTGACGATTCAGTTACAAGTAACCAATTTGAGGAGTGCAATGCCATGAAATCCCCCACCTTCCCCGTCTATCTCATGATAAGTTATCATATCGCAAACCTCGAAACCGCACCTGGCTAATCAAATACTTTGCATGTGCGAACAACTGTGACGAAAATCAGTAAGCCTCTTTTCCTAAGAGGAGGTCGGCAGGCTTAAAAATTTGGCAAATATTTGCGCAACCCGCAGAACAGCGAAATCCTAGTATCAGTATGTACACGGATTACAGCTTTGTGCTCTGATTCAGACACAGTGGAGGGCCCGCAAAAGTAGACGTTTTCAAAGAGTAAGATTTCAAATACGCGCAAAAAGCCTTGTTCTTGAGAAGCTGTTTGCGATTCAACGATGCCAAGTCCATGAAATTATTATCTACGTAGACAGATTCTAGCTGTGCAAAAGCTAAAATTTTGTGTTTTACATTTGTAATTATTAAGTAAAGTATCATAAAGTAGAAACATGTTTAACAACCCGTCCCTCCCCCCTTCTTCCGAATGCACTCCTTCTGGTTTTTCTTGCGAGCGGGAAAGTTTGAATACTCCAATTTTAACATGAAAATCACACACTGATATGTCTCTTTTATGATGATTTTAGTATGTTTAACGTGTTTTGTTGGCAATGTTGCTGAGGACACGCGTTCTGTTGTGTATGAATTCTTACCCTGCCTGGTGATGCATTGCTACGAGGATCCTCACATTTCCTATTAATAAGATAAACAAAAACAATACATAACCTCAGAGGCGGATCCAACAATGCGGCAACACCGGATTTCCTCCATTTAAACCTATGCCAAATAATCGATTACTGTCAGCGCACCTGGCCCAACCAAGAATCGATACATTTTCATAGGTTTAAATGAAGCAAAGACAATGTTGCCAATTTGTTGGATCCGTCAACGCACTGAAAAAAAAACTCCAGCCGTGGGAGCCGCAATTACGGTCTATAGACATACCGTCCGTTCCGGGCTCAAAGGCCGAAAATTCCAGCTGCTGGAGGAGTAGCTCCGCTTGCTCCGGGTTCAGAGGCCGAAGCTACGGCTCCAGCAGCCGGAATTTTCGGACCTTGAGCCCGGAACGGACGGTATGTCTATATAGCCCGTAATTGCGGCTCCTACGGCCGGAGTTTTTTTTCAATGTGCATAACCTCGACAGTGATTGTCTCGATTCGCAACATCGCGAACCCTCCAAAAAACGTAACTCGGCTCGAGTGATTTCGGTGACGTCGACGAGTGTGAGCGGTTATTTGGGCGTAAGTGCCTGGCGGGATTAGTCGGAAAGTGTGAGACTAGTTTTATTTTCACGAGAGCGCGAGATAAAGACCAATAAATCAGGGGTATTGGACTATTGCTCGCCGCAAAGGAAATCTTGCCAGGGGGATTACCACTATCAATGTAAACAGTGTGACTCGTCGCGGCGGCGTTGACGCTTCTTACGGAAGGGCGCGTGACGTGACGTAACGGTCGAACGCACGCGGCTCCACGTCGCGCAACGCAGACGGAAGACGTGACACCATGTGCCAGTCATAAAGATATCAATTGTCACAACCGCAAGCTCAAAGCCGTCCTCAGTTGTAAAGACCCAACTGCGTTTTTCCCTCGCCGCGATTCACACCTGAGCTCAGCTCACACGGGCCGC